ATATATATATATAAATTGAATTTTGGGAAACTTTAACGGTGCTGCCAACTTTGGAAAAAGTCATCCCAATTTACTGTGTTGAGTTGGCATTGTACAGAAATGGACAACCATATTGGTCTAGAAATGTTAATTTATTTTTATTTTTTATTTTTTTTTCCATGTGTACAGGAGTAACACATTGTACTAAATATGTAAGATCATATCTACATGGGTTTGATTACAGAAACTAATAAAGTATTCTCTAAATAATGAAAAAAAGAATATGATAAGACTATAAGAGCGAGAAGCAATTTAAATATGTTCAGGGACCATTTTCATCTCCAGAATTAAGGATTATTTTAATGTTACATCATTGCCTTTTGTCTTTTACTTTCCTTTTTAGCTTTATTTTAAGATTTCCTATTTTTAATGTTCATACAGAGATTTAACTGAAATACTGAATAGTTTCTTTGGTGTGAAAAACTATAATAGTACACAGGATCCTAATGAGATGATTAATAATGTGAAATAGGAAGTAAAGGGCTAAAAGTGTAGGCAAAGTGGGAAGGGTGGGGGAAAGGTAATAAGAGAGAGGAAAAAAATATGAGAAACTGAAAAAAATGGAAATAAAGTGTTTGTAAATGGGGAGGGGAGGAGGGGGTGAAGGGAGGCCAGGGACAAGGGGAAAAAATGAGAATCAAGACCTATTATGTAAAGGTACAGAATATCCCAATGATGAATGTAATTGTATTGTATACCTAGATTGTACCAATAAACTCAATAAAAAGAAAAAAAAATAGAAAAAAAAATTTCTGATGAGATCATTGAGAATTACAAATTGCAATCACTTCATCAAACCTAACACTGATGCGACTCTTTCATAAAAACTAGATCAAATATCCCACTAGTTTTGTTTACATTGTCCTCTTTTTAAATCTAATAAAAAATATTTTAAAATAAAGTTTTGTTACTTACACACATTACCCATATTTATATAGTTATATGCAGTCCAAGACAATTCCTCTCCACTCACTGCAGCCCAGGCAAACTAAGAGGGTTGGGCTTTGTTCAAGCATGGGGTTGAACTTTGTTAGTACAATCTCAGTCCACACAGCTTCAAGGATGAGATCTCAAGTTTCCAATATGCTAAATGCTAACTGTAAAAGCTGAGTACCATCCTTGCAAATTTTTACACTGGACTGAAAACACCGTCATAAAAATATCAGACAAACAAATAAGGCACATACGCTGCATTCCTCGTGTCAGGAACATCTCTGTGGTAGCCCAGACGGTTACTAATGAGCATATTAAAGGCATGCTTCTGATAGCCCAAATCTCTCAACTCCTGATCATGTTCATTGAAAATCATACCTGCAGAAGAGAGAAGTTACAATCAGGGCATTAGTCTGTAAAGGGTTACCATAGTCACTGCTACAGTGTTAGACTCTTCCCAAGGTTTTGACCTTATTACAATCAGATAATAGCTACTTTTCTCAAATCTAGGTTGTCTCTGGTTTCAAGTAAATAATCTGAGGTTGGAGTCAAACTCTTAGCAGTCTAGTGAAAAATAAGCATGCTTCACACATAAAGGACATATGCTCACAAGCCATAATTGCAGAATGTTTTATTGTATTTATGAGACACACTTACCTGCAACCAAGAAAAAATTTTCTTCTGATAACTTTCCATAAAAGCAATGGATTGTTAAATCCCAGTGGACCTCAACAAGACCCAACCTGAGCAAGTTTTACTATGAACCCTGCCCCTCAAAGTGGCTTCTGATAAACCTTTCCACAAAAAGGATTCTGCAGATTCTGATTTCACCATCAAATTTTTGCATGGATCTAATCACAATCACTATAATCTAACATGCTTGCTCTGATACTGTCAGAAATCGCATCTTTGCATAAACTGATAGTATCTCTTCTATCCCTATCAAGCCTTCAGCACCTCTGAGAATGACTCCCAGTGTAACAGTATCTCCCAAATGTGTGCAAGAAAAACAAAATTCCACGGGAGACTAACAGATGTTAGAAAGAACAAATGATTTCAGGGTCAAAGAAACTGAGGAAATACTAAAGTCTAAAAGTCAAATGGGTTTGTTTACAGCAGAACAACTCTGTTCCTTAATGTGTGGAGTGTGAACCTTGTGTGAATGCATGGGTAAGGACCACTGCAATGCTGATTTCCCTAACCACAGAACACAGTGCCTCATCATAGGCCTTCTCCCTAGAACCATCTCAACAAGCAACAATTAATTCCCATTATATTTTCCATGAGGATGGAAACTCTGTAAGACAAAAGGATTTGGCTATGTTCAAAACAAGTAAGAATGGCTTGATACCCAGTACCTGGAACAGTGCCTTGCACAAGAGATTCTCAATAAATATTCCTGATTCAATAATCATTCAATAGAGAACCAATGTCATTCTAAATCCTGAAAGAACTATTTTCTAACAGAGAGATTTTGGCAAAAAATTATTCATATTAAATGACCACTTCAGCATACTTTTCTTCCCTGCTGAAATACTACAGCCAAACCCCAATTAATAATTAGCATATCAGAGAAGTTATTTCAGTTAATTTTATAATTAACTACAGATTAACTGAGGAAATGTTGATAATCTGACACAGACTTTTTCCATAGGTTATTTTCCCTGTTTACTGACAATTCTCTCTCTCTCAGAAATCAACATGCTTTTAACTATTAATTTATACTAATTCCTTCTAAATTAAGTCTTCTGTGTGGAATTTAGAGGGCTTTTTCCAATTCTCGAGTGTGCTAATTATGCACATAACCTAAAAAGTACCATACTGACATTTCACACGTTTTGTGCTGCACAACCACCAAAGCAATGTAGTTACACACACTTTCACCATTCCTAAAGGAAACTCTAGTCCCTGTAGCAGTCACTCACTATCCCTTTGTCTCCCAGCCCCTGGCATCCACCATCTGCATCTGGTTTCCACTGACTGACCTATTCTGGACATTTATAAGGACAGGTTCCCAAAGAAGTGACTGCCCACCAAATGGTCTCATTCTTTCTGAAAATCACCTGACCATAGATGTCAAAGTGTAGAGGAGAAGGCTAGATTGAGGGCCGGGCATGGTGGCACACACCTGTAATCCCAGCACTCGGAAGGCTGAGGCAGGAGGATCGTTGTGGGTTCAAGACCAGCCTGGGCTACATAGTGAGTTCCAGGTCAGTCTCAACTACATAGTGAGACCCTGTCTCAAAAAAACAAATAAATAAATAAACAAACAAATAAATAAAGGGCTACATTGGGACACGGATTGGAATAGGAACTGCAGTTGTGGTTCTGCACACAGCCACAACTCAGAAGTTCAAGGCTCCAAAGAGTCTTGAGAATCATCCAATAACACTCTGGGAACAGTCTGTTTTGAGAAAGTATATGAATAACTAGAACCAGGTGGTCATAAAAAATATTTTCTAATGCTTTGCTAGAGATAATCTGTAAGGAACTGTTTATTCTCATGGAAGTATTATGCATATATCTAATAAAAACCGAGGTTGGTGAGAGTTGGCTGCTGTTTGCCTGTGAGAGCTTCAGCCCTCTACTCCTCGGCAAAACTATATTCCTGCTGTCTGGCTATCCTTCACGTTCCCAATGACAACAAGTGGTCCTGAAAACAGGGACCTCAAAAAAACGGGAGAACCGAAAGGGAAAAAAGTACATTCAGGAGAAAATGAAACTTTTGGGAATTTCAGAGTAGAGTAATGGGGAATTCCCCATCCACCGAGACTCAAAATATCAAACTACTTTGCAATCTGCTGAAAAGTGCAGGGGTGAAGGTGAAGAGTTCCCATTTCAGGGAGCTATTCTCGGTGGTAAGAAAACATTGTTATTGGTTTCACCCCAGTGGTAAAACTCAGTTAAATTTAAGTGTGGAAACAAGTTATGCGGCTTTCCCGCCTGGTGTGCTCATCAGGCTGTGGATACAATTCCAGCCTCAGTCTGGTCACTCTGTAATTTAATATCCATAGCTCTCCAGCCTTTGCAGTCTGAATCAGAATCCTATGGTACAGATTATGGGCACCCAAATCAGTTACCGCATAGAGGGTATGAGTCTGTGGATGATGTGTTATCCCAACCTCTTCCCCCTTTGCCAAAATAGGCTCCTACTTGTTCAGGAGATAAAGATAAAGATGAACAGACAGGAGACTGAATTTGGTAAAAAATCTGAGGAGCTATCCTCAACTGAAAGTGAAAGTGAGGATGGAAACACTGAAGGATCGGATTCAGAGCCTTACATGAAAGATTATAAAATCCTGATGGCTCAGGTTCAACAGATAGCTAAGATGGTAGATAAATTAACTTTCCAAACTGGAGAAGGAAATGTGAAAAAACAAGAAACAGAAACCCCGACTATTTGTAATCCTTACATGAAAGAAAACTTTGAGCCTTCGGCCCCTCCCACTCCTTTCTTTGCTCCACCAGCAGCACACGTGGCCCCGTGATACTTCAAAGGCCCCTAGTACAGCTTGGAGGATCTTTTGGGGAAAAGTTGCTTTTGAATTTCGATAAAGATTGCCCACATGATAATTCCTATAATCATTCAGATTTCTTTGGATTTCCTATAGTCCGACAAAATATGCCAGCTCAATATCCCCAAGGTTATGTCCAAATTGATCATCATAATACAGAATATAAGGTTTTAAAGGCTTTTAAGGAAGGAAGCTGTTAATTCTTATGGTATGCATTCAACTTATGTGACTGGACTTCTTAATAACTATGCAACTGAAAATCGGTTGATACCCATGGACTGGGAGACTTTAACAAAAACAATTCTAGAGGCAGGGGAGTGTCTGCAATTTCAAACTTGGTGGAAGGAAGAAGCTGAACAAATGGCTCGTGTCAATGCACAGCGTAATCCACCAGGACCTACAGTAGTAGATCAGTTAACAGGGCAAGGTGCAGTAGCTGCACTAGCAGCTCAAGCGGGTCTTGATGATACTGCTATAGTTCAAATTCATTTATGCTGAATGCGGGCATGGAATAGAGGTGAACCCCCTGGCTGGAGGGCCCCATGATTCACTAAAATTATGGAAAAACCTGTGGAACTTTATACTGATTTCTTATCCTGATTCTGAACTATTACTAGAGCTACTGCACAACGAGATATTCAACAGCTGTTATTACAAGCCCTATCTTATGAAAATGCTAATGCAGAATGCTAAAAGGCTCTACACCCCTTAAGGGCATAGAGTATATTACGGCTTACCATGATGTTAACTCTCCTACTTATGCTAATCTTTTAGTTACTGCCCTAAAAAAACGGGAATGAAAGGAGCACAGACTAAATGCTGTAACTGTGGAAAATTAGGACACGGGAGAAAGGACCATCATAAGGGAGCTAAAGGGACTAATGCCATAGTACATACACCACCCCCTAAGGGTCAGCCTTCTGGACTCTGTCATCAATGCCGGAAAGGCTATCACTGGACTAATGAATGTCGTTCAAAAAGAGATAAAGAAGGAAATTTATTGGGAAACTGGAGATAGGGCCCAGCTTGGGACCAAGAGAAAAACAATACGCGCTCCCAGCAGTACCCTGTGAGTATAGGGGAAGCACATCAGAAGATGAACTTAGGTGTCCCCGAAGCAAGGTCAGTGATTTACTTCATGCAACCCTCAATATTGCTGCACCAAAGGATTTTATTTTAACCCCCACAGGAGGAATATATCCTCTCGGCACCAATATCTATGGACCTATTCCTCCTAATACTGTAGGATTATTATTGGGTGGAAGTAGTCTAACATCTAGAGGCATCTTTGTTCACACTGGGATCACTGATGAGGATTACCAGGGAGAAATTAAGAAGATGAGTTCTAACTCAACAATTACTTTAAATAAAGGGCAATGTATAGCACAACTTCTCTTGTTACCATATATAAAAGGTAAAACAGCACTAGTAAAGAGAGAAGATGGCTTTGGAAGTACTGGAAAACAAGTATTTTGGCAAGCTTTAAGCAATGATAAAAGACCTAAGTTTACTGTCAAAGGATAAACAAATAGAGGGCTTATTGGAGGGCTGATATATCTATTATATTTTACATGCAGTGGCCTCCTAAATGGCCTCTTCAAAAGGTACAAGCTCATTTTACAGGTATAGGTTAAGTAAAGTCTATCAAAGTCAAAAAACTCTCACTTGTATTGGACCTGAAGGACAAAAGGTAAATTTCGACCATACGTGGCCAATATTGTTCTTAATTTATGGGGCAGAGATTTATTACAACAGTTGGGGGCAACACTACAAATACCAACTCCTTCTAAACAAACAAAATATATTATGACAAGCATGGGCTACAATCCCTTTAAAGGTCTTGGAAAAAATGAGACTGGAAAATTAGTTTTTGTGCTCCTGATTCTAATGAATCTCTCATAAGGGACTAGGATACCCAAATTTATCTTAGGGCCTGCTGAACAGCACTTCACTCTACCTTTAAAATGGTTGAAGGAGATTCCTGTGTGGGTAAAACAGTGGCCCCTTACAAGAGAAAAACTAGAAGTGCTGGAAAATTTGGCACAAGAACAATTAGATGCAGGGTACATTGAACCTTCTACTAGTCCATGGAATTCTCCTGTGTTTGTGATAAAAAAGAAAAGTGGTAAGTGGAGAATGCTTACAGATCTTAGAAAAATCAATGAGATAATACAGCCTATAGGACCTTTACAGTTGGGAGTACCTACACCCACATTAATTACCAAGGAATGGCCTATTACTATTGTAGATCTTAAGGGTTGCTTTTTCACTATCTCTTTACAACCTCAAGATCGGGAAAATTTTGCTTTTACTGTTCACTTATTATAATAGCCTGTTCATAGGTATCAATGGAAAGCATTGCCACAAGGAATGCTGAAGAGTCCCACATTATGTCAACATTTTGTAGAACAGCCTTTATATCTTCCATTCATAAACAATATCCTCAAAGTTTTATATTTCATTATATGGATGATATTGTCTTTTCTCCTTCTAATCATGAGACTTTATAACAAATATTTAGAGAAGGAATATGAGAATTAGAATTATATGGACTTCAGGTAGTACCAGAAAAAATACAAATAGAACCACCTATGAAATATTCAGGTCAAATTATTGAATGAACTACAATCATACCCCAAAAAGTTGAACTCAGAAAAGATACCCTTAAGACACTTAATGATTAAACTTATTAGGAGATATTAATTGGTTTCATCCTGCTTTGGGAATACCAACCTATGCTTTAACTAATCTTTTCCAAATCTTAGAAGGACCTTCAGATTTGAATAGTCCTAGAACTCTTACCAGAGCAGCTCAAAAAGAATTGGCTTGGATAGGGAAACATGAAAAATGCCTCTCTCCAGAGAATTGAAACTTTGCAAGATCTTAAATTGTTAGTTGTCCATACTCCACATCCTCTCACTGGGCTAATCCAGCAGAATATTAATATTATACAATGGGGTTTTCTTCCATATAAGAGTGTAAAAAATTTGGAAACATTTAGAAAAAATTTGTAAATTAATTCATCAGGGTCATTTATGCCTCTATCAATTAATGGGGTATGATCCACAAGAAATAATTGTTTCTTTTACAGCAAAACAAATAAAGGAGTTATTTCAACTTAATGATGACTAGAAAGAGCCATGGTTCATTTCCTTGGTTAAATTCATAACTCATATCTCAAGGATAAACATATTCAATTTTTGAAACAAACTCAGTGGATTCTGAGTAAAACATCCTGTCCAGGCCCTACTTTTTATACAGATGCTAATAAACAAGGATTGGTGGTTATGCTAGTGATATTGATACACAGGTTGTACAAATGCCCTATCATTCTCCAACAAGCTGAATTGTTTGCTATTATTTTGTTATTAACACATCATAATGACACTCAATATAGTCATGGATTCTCAGTATGCTGAATTTACTGTCCAAAATATTGAAAAAGCTATTATTTTTGAGAATGGTTCTACTTTACATCATTTATTTATACAATTACAATGATTGTTACATATTAGAGAAAGTCCTCTATTACCCATATTAGAGCTCATACCAAATTACCTGGCCCCATGGCCAAAGGTAATAATACTGTTAGGTTCAGTTCTTAAAGCTCAATAACATCATACTCTTCATCATTCTAATGTCTGTAGTCTACACTCTCAATTTTCATGAACATGGCAACAGGCTAAAGATATTATTCAACAATGCTCCACTTGTACACAAATGGTCACACCCTCATGTGCACCTAGAGTTAATCCCAGAGGCATGGCTTCTAATCAGATTTGACAAATTGATGTCACTCATATTCCAGAATTTGGCAAATTAAAATATGTACATCACACAGTCGATACCTTTTTCAGGCTTTACTTGGGCCACAGCCCTCAGCTCTGAAAAGGCTGATGCAGCTGTTACTCAACTTATGGAAGCCATGAGTATAATGGGAAAGCCAATGAATTTAAAAACTGATAATGGTCCTGCTTATATTTCTATTAAATTCAAAAAATTTTTTACAAACTTATGATATTGAACATACAGCCAGTATACCCTATAACCCTCAAGGTCAGGCAATAATTGAACATGCTAATGGTACTTTGAAAGAGATGTTGCAAAAATAAAAAGGGAGAATGGTGTGGGAAACAGAATGACAAAAACTATCTCAAGCTTTATTTACTCTTAATGTTTTGAATGAGGCACCTGATGGGCACACAGCAGCTGGATGCCATTGGCAAATCCGAGAATCTAAGGAGTTAGATCAACCTCTTTATTATCGACCTCCACTTGAGAAAATCTGGCTACCAGCCCGGGTTTTGAGGTGGGGCCAAGATTATGCTTTTATTTCCACAGGTGACGAGAAGTTTTGGGCCCCGACTTGAGACATAAAACTGAAGAATGAGCCAGAAACAAAAGTTTGAGACTCTGGGAATCACAGAAGACATGGAACACATGCATATTGGCTGTCCAGAGGTTCGTGTGACCCTTCTGCGAACTTGACATGCTCCATTGCCTACCTGGGTCCAAATTAAGAAGTTAACTGATGAAGGCCAATGAGTGGTTCAACAATCAAGACAACCAGTCACATCAACCGCTTTGTTTTTGGCTATGCTATCTTTAATTATTACACAGGTTAGTGGAACACATTACACTTATTGGGCTTATATTTCAAATCCACCCTTAAATAGGATTGTTACTTGGAGAGATTATACTATCCCCACGTATGTAAATGATTCCAACTGGATGCCAGGCCCCTATGATGATCGTGGCCCTTTTAGGCCAGGGGAGGGAGGGAGGATAGTGAAAAATTATACTGTTGGAGCAGGTTTACCTATTTGTATTGGATATGAAGAACTTTGCCTTAAAATAGCATCCCAGGCATGACTTTCATGGTGGTTCAGAATGACACCAAGAATGATGCCCCTAAAAGATTGTTTCTTTTAAGTGTTAAAGGGTTAAAGAAATTAATTCAAACAAACTAGTCCTCCGGTTGTTATAAATTTTGTCTTCAAAGTAAGTTAAATACAGTCATCTTTCAACCATTCCTTTCCCTTGTCAAATTATCCTAGCAATTAAAAACTTTCTCCTATAGGTTCTATAGTATTTTCTTTCTAGATCTTCTTTTCTTCTCTGAATAGTTTTTCCCAAGTTGTCATAAAATACTAAAGTCAGAGCTGGAAAAAAAATCTGAACATAATTCCCTATAAGTCTGCAAAAATAATATAATGTCAGCTGGTTTCCAAACAGAACAAATCAGCACGGCGGGTGGGGAGGGGCAATTTCTTGGGTTTTTTGTTTTTGTTTTGTTTTTTTGGTACCAGGGATCAAATTTAGGACCTTCCACTTGTAAGGCAAGCAGAGGAACCATTGAGCTAAATCCCTGGCCCCATTTCTAGTCTTTTGAGCAACATGTGATATGAAGAATAATTAAACTTTAATAAGTAAATACTCTGAGAGCACTTTTAGTAAAGGTCAAATGCACTTACCCAATTCGGAAGAGAATTTCTGCTGGCCTTTTTCTGGATCTTCAATTTGATTATCTATCATATCATCAATCTTGTTTGCTTTAAACTGTGGATCTAAGATATGACTTGGACCTCGAGTAAAACGAGGATAAAATTTTTTGGGAAATGGTCCATGGGGCCCAGACCCCTTGATGGGCACATTCTTAAAGGGCTGAGTCACTTCACTGAAGTTGAAATAAACAAAAAGCAAAACTGTCCAGGTTGCAGATGTAAAAAGGCACCCATAACAGAAATATCGAACTGTAACACTTCCCATTATAGACCTAGCATAGCTGAAGGGTCATTTTCAGTTTCCTAAAAAAGAGAGAGATATACATTAGACACTTCCATACACTTTTAAATAATCTATTAAATTCTACTCACAGTTTTTCAAATCACAAAGTAGGACCCCCATATACCGCAATAGATTCTGGTAAGACACAGATAGCACAGAATTTCTTAGAACAGTCTCAGATTAAAACCACAGGCCAATATATTAGCTCAGAAAGCAAAGGGCAGCAAAATAGCTGACTTATTCATTCACCCATGTTAATGGATACTTCTTCACCTTTGTTCTGGATTGCTTTTAGTTGGTGGTTTGTTTCAGAGTCTTTTTCTTTCTTTTCTTTTGGGGGGGGGGGTTTGAGACAGGGTCTATCACTATGTAGTCAAGACTGACCTGGAACTCACTATGTAGCCCAGGCTGGTCTTGAACTCACAGTGATCCTCCTGCCTTAGCCTCCTAAGTGCTGGGATTACAGGTGTGCACCACCACACCCGGCCAGGCTCTAACTTTTTATGGTGAAAATACAAGTACTATAAGTGTCATGATAGGACACTGAAAGTCTCCTTCCACTATAAAATTAAAGATTCTTTTTGTTTGCTTTTGCAATGGTAGGGATAGAACCCAGGGCCTCATGAATGCACATTAGGCAAGCATGCTACTACCAAGCTACATCTCCAGCTCACAAGATTCTTTGTTTTGTTTTGTTTTTGTTTTTTGCAGTACTAGAGATTACACAAAATTCTTTTTAACCCAAGGATCTTAAAATCTGTTATTAAAAATTAGCAACTTGAAGAAAAAGTATTTCCACTTACTAATCAAAGGTTATACTGTCTCAGAGCCTATAATAGCTAACAGTTATTTTCAAACAGAATTCAAATAGTCATGTTTTCCCTCTATGCTGTCCTGTAAAAAGGGCAAGAAGAATTAAATACAGTATTGAATAATAATTTTTTCTAAATTTTCTGATAATGACTGCTCTTGGTGAAGGCGCACATAAAAGAAATTCTTTCCAAAGTGCCCAGTGCACATATAAAATAGCCCCACTGAACAGACCTAAGGCAAAAAAAAAAAAAAAAGCCTACATAAGAGATATATACACATAAGAAATCTGCTCAGATACTACCTATACATTTCTTATTTCAATAGAGTGAAATTTTAAATTATCCTCAAAATATCAGGCTGAAGCAAATTATCCTAAGCCCCACTTTAAAAATTAAACTGTCTCAAACCGGGTGTGGTGGTGCACCCCTGTAATCCCAGCACTCAGAAGGCTGAGGCAGGAGGATCACTGTGAGTTTGAGACCAACCTGAGCTACATAGTGAGTTCTAAGTCAGCCTCAACTACATAGTGAGACCCTGTCTCAAAAAACAAAAAAAGAAAAAAGCTGTCTTTTACAAGCTTGGAAGATGGTACACGGTTCAATTTCTTAACTATCTCCCGCCAAGAACTATTAGGCATTTCACTATATGTCAATGTAAAAACAAAGTGAAAGCAATTCAAAAAATAATAAGCCCAAACAAAATCCCAACTAGCACTAATCCCAGAGGGGTAGCTGGAAATGATTGCAGTGCAAAGGGGCCATGTCAGCCAGAATAGCACATTTTAAGTTAAATACACAGAAGAAAAAAACCTGCAAGTATAAGAAAAAGTTCTCTAAGCAAGGTGAAATGATGCTCATTAAGAACAAAAAGTTTCAAAATTCCAGTATGCAAAAAAATGTACACAGTAATGACATCTAGGTGAAATATGAAGTTTCAACTAACCCAGACCTTGTAAATGTCTAAGATATTTGCTTAGAAGCAGGTACCAAGCAAGCAGGCAAACAAGAAGAACACGAGCACTCTTCTCCAGAGGCCACGAGACGCTGCAGAGCTGGCATGGGCACACTGCATTGCTGTCACCCACCAGGAAGCCTGCAGATACAGAGCAACACCCTCCTCTCAACTTTACAACAGACTTGTGTTTACAGACTGCTTCCCTCAAACTACTTTCCCTTTCCACCATGGAATGCTGGCTCTCAACACAGAAAGGAACCATCCAAAGTGGATCTTGAAGACAGCCAGCCAATTCCTTCTCCAATACAGGAAGCAAGCAAGGACCGTTCCATCAGGCACCTCTGAACCACTGGCAGGCACTGATATTTGCTTCCAGTCTTTCTCCACAACCTGAGTCTTGCCTATTAATGTTGGGCCGCATCCAAAACCCTTCAAAGCCAGTCTTCACATGCCATGGTTCATGTTTCCTCCATCACCTTGGTGTTCCACGAACATGTGGTAGCTCACAGACCTTCTAGAAGTGTTTCTGTCATGGTTTAAAATTTAAAAGAATAAAGCCATATGGGTTTTCTGATTTTTCAGCCAGGGTTGTATAGTAACTGCCTTATTTGGGATTTCATCATCACCTACAACTGATATAAGGTCCTCCTGCTCCTATTATTATAGATAGATGAGTGAGGAAGAAACAATATAGGCGGTCAGATAGGGCTAGGACCTCGAGAGGGTCAGGACAAAGGTGAAACATACCACAGCTGCACTGGAAACACATCAGCTGAAAACCAGGCCTGAAGATAAAGACAAGATGACCAGACCTACATGCTTCCTCAAAGAACAAACACTGGGTCTAATGAAGTCTAGGTAGACATCAACCACAACAAGTGAGTGACCAGAGACCTCTAGACATATCACTTCCTAGGAAAATCTTTGTTTTTCCTTCCATGCTTGTCACATGACTGATTTCCCAAATGGACCACCATTACCTAAGTGACAGTACTTGTAACCTTACTGGATATTCATGGCTGTGGCCCATGTTGTGCCTGCATGGGTTTCATCCTGTAAAACTCCTCTGTAAAGCAGGGTCCCTGGGTTACCCATTTGGGACCCTCCTGCCCTTCACGAGCTTTTCTATCAATAAATACCTTCCTCCATTGTTCCCAGGGCTCGCACTTCAATTTCTAGAAAACAAGAACTTAGAGTATCAGACAGTTAACAAGTTGGGAGGTACAGTACTTCATATTTCATCTCTAGTATTATTTCCTGTAACACTATCACATCCCTGACTCCCACTCGCTAAGCCCTAACTCTTGTCCTCCTATCTCCTCTATCACAACTCACATTTATTTCCTGGGGCCACACACCCATCAATGCCATGACTTCCTTCCCTGTCCCTTCTGGGTAATACAGTAGGAAGTGTAAATGCTGAGCAAAGAAACAAAGCAGAAGACCAAAGAGGGTGCATGGAATTTTCAGAAAGTGTGGCGGGAAGGCCTCACTGAGAAAGTGATACAGAACCAAGACTCCAAGGAAGTAAGGCAGTGGGAACTGCGAATACACAGCTCTGAGGAAGTATGGTCAGGGGGCCAAAATCCACACCCTACACACCACCTGCTCTACCATGACAGCCAAGCAGTAACCTATGATAACAAGGTAATTACTGGAAAAAAGGTTAGAAAATAGATAAGCAGAAACCAAACAATGGAAATACTATTTTTTTCAAATTTCCTAGGAAATAGCTAAAGCCAAATCCATAGACTTGGCTGCTTATACAGTATTAGAAAGTAAGACTGCAAACTCTGAAGAAAAATATAACTGAAAGAAACAATTAAAGTAAAAGAGTAATAACATTATCAGGAATTAATAGAAAATAAAATTAAACAAGGTAACAAAAGCCAAAAGTTGGCCCTCTACAAGATGAGTAAAGTTGACTGAGCATTGGTAAAACTAATTAAGAAAAAAGAAGCACACATAACACCAAAAGTGAAAAAGAGGGCATAAATTTATTTATGGATTGACTGACTGGTACCGGGGACCACCTCAGGACTTTGCGCTTATGAGGCAGACGGCGGGACCCCTGAGCTAAATCCCTGGCTAGGGCATAAATTTAGATGCTGATTAAAAATAACAGCACTGTTCAGAAATTTAAGTGAAATAAATTCCTAGAAAAAATAAATATACAACAACTGACTCTGGAAAACTAGAAAATCTGGATAGCCTTATTGTTCTTTTGGGACAAAACCATTGCCGTATAGTTTTGCCAGTGAGCTGCCAAACCCCTGAAGACCAGATGAGAGACTGTGGATCTGCAGTGGCTGCCTTCAGAGGACAGGAAAGCTTTCCCACCTCACTTGCTAAGGCTGGTGTCACACTGATATAAAAACAAGATGGCTTAAGGGGGAGCATTAATGTGAAAATGTAAACCAAAACCATGTTTTAAAAACTGAGTACATCATGTAAATTGTATTTAACAAGAATACAGGTTGGGCCAATATATGAAAAAACTATCCCCATAATCTATTACCTTAAGATATTGAAAGAAAAAACCCCATGACTTGATTGGTGATTATCGATAGAGTTAATTAAAATTCAATACTCAAAATTGAATATGGTGGCACAGGCCTGTAATCCTAATACTCAAGAGGCTGAGGCAGAAGGATTACTATAAATTCAAGGCCAGCCTAGATTATTCAGTGAGACTCTGTCTCAAAAAAAAAAATTTTTTTTCAACACTCAATGCTTTTCAAGCTAAGAATAATAGGATAATCCTTGGTTGACAAAAAAAAAAAAAAAATCTCTGAAAATTTTATAGCAGATATGACACTAAATGAGGACCCTGCTCTTGTGAGGCAGGTAGTAGAATCACTGAGCTAAATCCCCAGCCTATAAAAATCTTTTTAAAAAATAGGTTTCCTTTTTTAGTGGATAAAATCATTTTCTTAAAAAACAGGAACAAAATGAGAATGCCCAAACCACTACTTGTATTATACTACCATAAATACGACACGGGAAGGCAATGGTACCACTGTACAGGAATCTTGCGAGTAACTATTAAAAGTCAGGATTCCTGGATTCCATGTCAACATGCTAAACCAAAATTTCCAGGAACAAGGTTAAGGAACCTAAGGCTTTAATGAGCTTCCCACTTAGCTCTGACACACAGCCAAATGACTAAATTCTATCATCTACCAGTTATGCACTCTGACATATTCCAATTATACAATTTTGGAAAAATCTCCAATTTTCCTAGCTTCATTTT